CTTAGGCTTGGGGTTTAAATCTCTGTTGTAGTCGGGCACTAATATAACCGACATTGGACCAATGTTGGCCAATGTTTAGCCAATGCACACCGTGCCGCTAGGGTGCTCGTTCCTTGTCGAAGGAACTCGGCCGATAAATTAGACGGGGAAGATCAAAGTTCACGCGACGCGGCCTTACATTCCGGTCACACGGCTTCGAGTGCAATTTCAAATTTGGGACGAGACAGACGTCGAGCAAGCCGGATTGACGCGCCGTGTATATTGATGCGCGCGCATATACTCAAAGTTTACGTCCCGCGAATTAATCGCAGTACACGCGGAGATTATAGTCGGAAATAAACCGACGGGATTTCACGGAGTCTCGCGAAATATCCCGCGGAACAGGAGGAGAGATCGGTCGGGTAAACGAGGCGAGACGGAGCGCGCTGAAGCGCGCGCATTTAAAGCACGCGTACTCGGCCCGACCACTGTCGCGACGTTTCTTCTTTTTTTCCCCCCTCCGATGTGAAGAGCATCGATATTCTGTCGGTCACCGAGATAAATGCGGAAGCGAAGCGTACAGCGAAATCAAGTGACTGCCGCGATAAAAGCGTAAACGGGACGTTCTAAAAAAAAAAGAAAAAGATAGAGACGTGTAAGCACCTGTCCGACAGAAGGAGCTTGCAGGTAAGTCGAGACATCCGGTTCCACCATGCAGCTTCTCAGAGTGTCCGGGATGAACATGAGTAGTCCGAACGTTGCCGAGAGCCAGGCTGGAGCTGGTGCGATCCCGGCGGCGCGCTTCAACGCCCGTGTCCAGCGACGGCCGTTACCATGTGGGAGGGAAGCTTTTGGTCCGGGTGGCGGGCGCGGGGTCGGAATTATCCGTGGTCGAAGGTCCGTTATCGTCCGAACGGCAGGAACCACGTATTATCGGGCGCCCTTCTCGGCGCGCGGCTGCACGATCGCTCACGCGGGTGGCCGAGGGTGGCTCGAGGTGGCCCGTCCTCGCGCGGAGTCCTCAGGCTCCTCCGCGGGGAACTCCCGTCTCCGGCGACTCGGCGGCCGCTACCTCGCGCGTACGGTCCCGCGCTCACGGGAAACGCTCTCGCAGAACTGTCGCTCCCGGCGCCGACGAGGCGTCCGCCGTTGGCGACGGTACCACGGATGCTGTTGACACTGCGAAACTGTCGTTTGTCGGGTGGTGACGAGACGCCGCACCCAAGCACACGCATCCTATCTAACCGCAGCAGCCACAATTGCGAACTTTTCGATTTCGGATCTCCTTTGTGTCTCTCTCTCTCTCTCCCTTTCTGGTATCGCCACAATTCGCGATTCTCCCCCACACACTGTGTCGCCCCTTCCTCGTATCTGTGTGTGTCTCTCTCTCTTACGCTTCCTCCCTCCTTCCCTCCCGCCCTCCTGCTTTTATCTTACCGACTTTTACCCCTTCCTGTTCTCGATATCTCACTTTTTTTTTCTTCCTTTCCGAAAATGCCCGCAGGGATGCTCCCCAGGTTTGCCTATTTCTCTCTTCGGGTCTTTATTTTTACGTGTTCCCTCCTCGTTCTCCTCGCCTCTGCTTGTCGCCCTTTTTTTGATTTTAGGGCCGTGATGCTTCGTTGCTTTCTATTTCTCTCTCTCTCTCTCTCTCTCTCTCTTTCTTTTTCACTGTCTGCCTGTATCAATATAATTCGCAATTTTCCCTCTCTCTCTCTCTGTCTTGCTCCTATTTTGCCGTGTAATTTTGACGATACTGTCCCTCTGTTATCACATCGATGAGTACGATGACGACAATACAACGGCAGTAGTGATGAAGGACTCTTGCTTCGGTTCCTTTTAGCTCCTCTGTGCCCGAAGACGTCGAGCCTCGGACTACGTCGACTCCAAACCGTGAACGCTGCATCGGCGTCGGCGTCGGCGTCGGCGTCGAAGTTGGCGTCGGCGTAAAAAGCCAGCAGCGTCGCGCAAGCTCGATGCCGTAGCGCAGCCCACTACGAGATGTAGAAAATAATCCCGAAGAACGAAAAGTAAAAACGTACGAATTGAAAGCAGACGGGGTTTTAATGATCTGCGTATTGCGTGGAGACGGAACGTAATAGAATAAAAATAATAATAAAAAATCAATTTTTGAAGCCTGCATTTCAAATGTCAATAGACGCGCATAAACGGAGAACCTTAACTTGCAAACGAAAAAAAAATTCTTGAAAGAAGTGAAAAGGAATTTGGGCGCCGATTCGGTTTTAAAAAACACAGTCTTAAGCCTAATTTATAGTGTGCTTTTTGCGTCTAGAAACATTCTATTTTGTAGCCATAAATGTTTAAAAAATAAATTGTACATTGCATAATGGTGCATTACCGACAAATTCTTTAAGTGATTTGCTTCTACCGGAGAGAATTTTCTCTCCAAATTTATCCTGAAAATCATGTAATCGTGGGAAATGTTATCTTATCTTGCATAATCTTGGAAAATTTGAAAACGCTACAGATAACTGATTGGTCGTGGGAGAAGCTTGTCTCTTTTACTTGAAGACATTTGAAGAAAATCGTGAACGCGTATAAATTTTACACAGTTTACGCAACTGTCCGGTATTCAAGTCCAATCTTCGTTCGTTACATGACTTCCTCATAATTAACGTAATAAATTCAAAGTACACGAAGACCATAAATTGTCACCAGTAATTTTTATCTACCTTTATAGCATATTTTTACGGTGTATACATGTAACTTCATATTACTTTATTTCGTAATGAAACTTGGGTTTCTCTTACAAGTGTGACACGCGTTTTGCTTACACGTAGTGCAAAATTGTCGAAGGATATTACTCTTCCATTGAAGCCTGAAAACACGTTACGTTGATATATCCGCGTGTTCTTCTTATATTTAAAAAATTTTAATTCCAATTGTAATAAACATTTCATTATACAGTAACACTTTACATAAACATAGTGCAAAAGTATTCTTCAAGATGTATACTTTTTATTGACTTCACTTCTCCTCCTTCTCTTCTTCTTCAAATATATTTTAAAAAGTAAACAATATATTTATTAAACGATCTAGTATTATATGCAAGGATTTTTTAAACAAATTTTGAAGTAATAAATCTTGCTAAATTATATTTGGTATTGCAATTTGTTCTATGATATTTGAATCTATGCTATTTCAATTAAATGTATTATTACAAGAAAATTATATAAAAGTTATGTAAAATATACAAGTTTGAAAAACACAATTTTGCAAGACACCCATTCACTCAATACTTAATAAGATCCAACTACGATGAATTGGCAAAATAATTTCTACGACACAACTTTGGCCAAGTATCTACTAAATATGAATGTGATATATAATCATAGATAATACCTTTGTTCGGAAATTATATACACTCATCCCTTATGCGGTACTCTTTTACGCAGTCTCATTTTATACAGAAAATATATCTTTGAAACGGACATTGATAGTAAACTGGCGTGGCAGTGGAAGTGTCGATAATTTCTAGTGATGAGAACAACAACTTCAAACCAATTCAGAAGAACCAATTGACTGCTTTGGAGTACAGTACTGATAGAAATAACAAATAAAATTTAAATCTGTTTTTCTGTCTCACACTTTTTTTGTACTCGCAGACTTCGTTTTCACAATTTTCAAAAAACTCGCGTAACAAACCCACATGGAGCGAATACTCCATCTAAATCAAGGGACGAGTGTAGTTGATTACAGAGGGATGAACATACATGCATACATACATATATGTATATGTATGTAGGTATGTGTGTGTAATCATATACGTGCATATAAAATTTCAATTTTTTTACTTCATTTTAGCAAATAGTAAAACTGAATTATTCCGTGTCAATTAACTCGGAAAAATTTTCCTCCGGCACGTAGATTTACTTAAAACTAACTACGCTTATAATACATTATCAAATGATCGTTCTTTTTCACAATTTTTAATGTGAATTGATTTTAAACTTACACAACTACCGCGCCAAACAAGTACCTTCTTCACAAAAGTTTAAACAGCGTCGCTCACTCTTGATATCGCTTACATTTTTATATACTAAGATCTGAATTAATGATTTATATGTCGATCCATTCAACATGGAAGAATAAGTGGCATGTGAATGAGGATACATTGCTAGATACTTTGTAAAAGTGTCTATTAATCTTGTCCAAAGTGTTGTTAAAAGTTGCACAACAATTCACTGGACAATACCATTGCAGCGTATCCCATGATTCTTCAAACAGATACAGTTGGTTCGATAATGAACAGATTAAAACTGAAAAGTAAATCCAATATTGAGTAAACAAGTTAACAAATGGATACGAAATCACAAGCTGTACACTTACCCTTTTCAGAAATTCCTCCGCACATATGCGTGCTCTGGCGTTAACCGATAACTTCATTTCGCTGATTTCTCTATCGATTTCTTCCATAAAATGAATAACAAAGTCTACTATCTTGTGCTTATACATTTGTTCTACGTGAATATTAGTAATTAAAAAACTAATGTCGTAGCCCTGAAATTAAATGGTGTAACCAAGTTAGTACGAGTCGCGAGAGCTTGCAGTAAACTCGGCGTCACTCACCTCTACTGGTTTCCTTCTGAGAATCATAAAGTGTTCGGCCCTCATTGTCATGAATCTTGTAAAATTGTGACAAAGAATTTTTTCTAGATCGTCCGCCTGCTTCACGGCGATGCTTATTCTCATACTATTTATACTCGATTCGATCAGGACCTTCTCTTTATCGTTTCTACTTATCAAGATGGGCGTTAAAAGCAGTTCTTTGCTCGCTCTTACTTCCACCTCGGGCTTGTTATGCTTTTCCACGATTTGAGAGAAGAAATTCTCCAGGCACATAGCGGCAGTAAGCGTACGCCTGACTGCTGTCAAATATGGTTTTAGCGTTCCCGACTGTAAAAGAAATCAGATTAACGGTACAGATTAATGGTGCAAGTCAGTGTACACGTGTGTGGGTAGAAAAATCCAAGGCATTTTGGCGTAAAATTAGAAAACCGAAAACGCCGTCGGTACCCAAGTACTAAGACACACTTTCCGCAATCGGTATGGCTGAGACTTGATCTACAAAAGGTGTAGGAACCTGTAGTCTCTCGCTTTAAGCTCCAAGCTGTCATGTTAATTTACTTTGACAAGCATCAAACTCTACTGGCTACGATTTGGCCAGTTCATTTAAAGCTTCGGCGTTACAGCTTCGAGGATCAGTTCTTTCAACCTCTTGGTAAGCTAACAGTTAAATTATATGTCTATCTTTGTCTGATTTGAAGGAAAAGCAAAGACACACATGATTTAACCGTTAGTTAACTTACCAAGAGGTTGGAACAGCCAGCTCTAAGCGGCGCCGAAAAAGCGGTTTTCGCCGGGAGAAACGGTTCAGCTTAGAACTTGGAGCAAAAAAGGCTAAAGGCTTGCCATCGTAGATCGAGTCCACCGAGTCTCAAAGAATAGTATACTTCTTACAAGTCAATCAGGCTCGAAATTACGGCTGAATAACACGACTTACCATGATTTATGATAGATAATTCACAAGTTTTTATATAAATGATATAGTTCGCATTCGCGACCAAACTCTCAGAAGCTTATCAAATTTTACACTGGTGTATTCGAGTCGGCAAAGCATACGGGAACGACACGTTACATTGACGAGCGCACGTTGCTTTCGCTTAATTCCGATTATTCGGTTCAGAAGCTGGCGAATTCAACGAGCCTGATCCACCCTAGTTGAGTCGGTGATTCATTTCTCCTCAATACAGCTACAGCAGTACAGCCGGTATTTCTTTAATTTCACTCGACTCCAACACTTGGGGCGTCAACACAGATGTCTATACTATACTATAGATCGTTAACACGAACTTGTATACAGGCCTGAGAACTCTGGTGGTGGGGTCACTAAAGGCCTGTATCCATCAACCTATAGTACATACTGGACGGTCCAGTCTGGACCAAGTAAATTTAAAGCCTCCGCTACAATGGCCGCGTTCAGCAGACACAACTGTTGAGTGAGCGCTCGGTATGATTGGCTGTGTTCTGCCGAAGTTAGCTAAGAATAAGCGCTTTATGCTGATTGGATAGATCTAGAAGAATAGCTCTATTTCAGCACAGATCTGAAAGTATAATCCAATGAACGCAAAGCGCTTAGCAAGCGCAAACTTCTGCTGGACACAGGCAATGGTTAATACTTTTAAGCCTATCACACAATGCGAGGCAACAGGCAACAGGAATAGGGAATAGAATTTTTGACGCGTTGGATTCGTCGGAAATTTTCCTTCAACCAATCCAACGCGTCAAAAATTCTATTCCCTATTCCTGTTGCCTGTTGCCTCGCATTGTGTGATAGGCTTTAGATCCAGCCAATCATATTAAGAAATCGTTGAGCGCTCACTCAACAGTTGTGCCTGCTGAACGTGGCAAATGATTCTCGGTTCTGTCTACAATGGTCGTAGTCGTAAGAATAATCGACTGCGATTGGTCAATTCTTATCGAGCGACTACGACTACGACCATTGTAGACAGAACCGAGAATCATTGTAGCGGAGGCTTAAGCGTTCCGTGTAGCAGCACTCACTGTAGCGGAGGCTTTAAAGCCTCGTCTACATAGAAGTCGTAAAGTCGTAGTCGTAAAGCCCAATGTCCACGATGCTAGAACTTGGACCAAGTTCTAGGCATCGTGGATATTGGGCTTGAGAATAGTCGACTATGATTGGTCAATTCTCGTGTGTTTAACGGAATTGACCAATCGCAGTCGATGATTCTTACGACTACGACTCTGCGACTCGCATTGTAGACCCCGCATCAGGTGTCTCTGGTAGAAACTAGACCAATGATACTATAGCTCCAGCAGCCGGACGAAAATTACTACATCGTCAAGGTGGCCGTTCTCGAGCTCCTTCCGAGTTCAGCATTTTGACACCTAAGCATATGTGATACGTTAAATATAGAACAAGGAAGTAAATATTACGAGCAATATTCATAATTATATTTGTTTAAAAGAAGGACGGCTTTTGTTCGACCGTTCTCTTCGGTGTGTTACCAGTCATAGATAAATATCTAGATAGGATGCGTTCAAGAAGCGTCCAACTTCAGACGCGAGGGCACACCTGATGTCAAGTGCACCAGCTGCACCACGTCTAGAAAAATCGAAACACCGTCCACATTGTATATATCGAGAGCTTTGTTTGAGGCGACTTCATGGTATTGTTGCGCTTCTCTACTTTCGTTCGCGCGCGCGTGTGTGTGTGCTTTCTATCCGACCGAGAGACAGAAACGTTTCTTTGAACCGTTGAAATCGATTGACTGGCGCAATTGGCGATTAACGTGCAACGGACAGGAGCCATTTTCGGTAAGTTACGACGGCGACTTGTAACCGAGCGCCGTGAAATCGTCGCACGGTTACATGCACGTCCGTCCGCGTTTTCGCTACAAACGTTTTGGCATTTCCACGCGTTCCGCGGCTCCCCGCGCAACGAGTCAACTCTCGAAGAAAAATGTCTCGCGTCGAGCGACCCGCGCGTTCCGTGCGACCGATGCTAGGCTAATGACTGTACGTGCCAGAGACACGTATACTCGTACGTTCCGAAGCGTCTGTCGAATATCTCGGCGTGAAGCATCGGTGCGAAGGAAACGAGGATGCGACTTTCGGTCGATAAAGCCCGTGGCGGGTCGCGGCAGGTAAAACCAGGTTAACCTAACGTTAACGCCGCCGCCACATGATGCAAGACTTCATTATTCTCAAGTTTATCGCGGACTGAGCTAGTCGAGAAATATATTCGCGTTATCTATGATCGATCGTCTCCATTACTTGTAATGGTACCACTTGAGCGATAATGTGAACGAGTGTGATAAGAGGCTTCCTGTAGTCTCCTTCGCAGCGAAGCGTTTGCTGCCTATTTTCGCCAACGTCGTTCAACTTGGAGCCCGACTCGGGTGTTTGCCAGCAGGAGACAGATTGACACGGCGTAACGCAGAGAATTATCTCATTCTTGTTTAATGATGGCAAACAGCCAAGAAAAAACAATGCCCTGTGTTACGCGGTGTCGCTACTGTGTATGTTGCTGGAGAGCGACCTTCAATTCATCCTTTGGCTTTCTCTAACTGTCCCCTTGGAAAGAGACAAAGGAAGATTTGAACCAAGATCACAGTTGAACGACATTGAAAACTGGGGGATGCGAACCACGTTTTTGTTTTTTTCACAAAAATACTTGGGCCCAACACGAGTCGATATCTATGTAACTTAATATTTAAAAGTATAACTGTTTGCAGGTATAACATTTGCAGCATGTAGTAATTACGGTATTAATTTCGACCGTAACTCGGTTCTACCTCAGTCAAGTGTTGATGACTTTGGGTAACATTACAGTTTTACATCTTGCAAGCGTTGCGACACAAAGTACAGGGTGAAAGTGGTATTACGTATGTCATTACGACAAACCTTTCAAGCATATTGACTGGCTACAAAACAATGTAAATTAGTTAAGAACCTTATTGTAAATCAAGTCCACTTCTTGGCAGTAAGCTGAAGTTAATAAATTGATTAATCGACTGGCTATAAGATAGAAAATTTTGAAAGACTCTAGGACTTTTCTACTTTGTAGCCAATCGATATGACAAACTTGTCAAGCATATTGACT